AAGCATGGCTTGGGTGCCATATCCTTAGACGAACTAACCAATGAACGAACAAAGGTTTTCATGGCTACCGAAATGGCAGAACAGTTGTATTTGTCGTTCTTGGATTCCATGTTTAGCTGCAGGGGGAAAACAAGATTTTATGAAAAAAGATGCTCGATTGGTACAGCAAATGGAAGCGAAGGAAAAGTATCCTGTTGTGTTCAAAATGACCATCGAGGATTCCCCCAACCTGAACGACATTATGGAAATGGAGTACGCCCTATCGGCGTACCGAAGCGAAATCAACGGCTGGGCTTAGCAAGCTCCGCAAAATCTGGCCTCGCATATGACTCGTCAAAAGCTAGCCGAAATGTATCCTATCATTGACGAGAAAGTCCTGGCAGAAATCCTACATGCCCACAAATTCAGCGACACTATAACCGTCCTAAACAATTCCATTCCGGAAGAGCTTAGAAACCAAATCGCCCGCGAACGGGAAGCGAGCAGAAGCCGAAAAACAGAAACCACTTCCTTCGTCCTCAACGTCGCCGCCTCCAACGGTCGAGTAGTTACCGTCATCCAGCGAAGACGACATCAATCTTCACCTGAAAACGGCCGAAGAATGCCGCAATATGTCCCAGGACCACCAGGAACTGAAAAAAGAATGCCACGAGAAGGCACGGAACGCCATTCAGCGGGGCATGGCCGGGGTGGCCGAGTACTATGTCCAGGTTGCCCGGCTTCATCGAACCAAAATCTATATGTATAGCAGTAAGGCCTCGAATGCCATCATGGAGGTGCACAAGTTGACGCTGAACACTATGGACGTGTTGGATTTGCACTATCTACACTCGTAGGAAGCGCTGCAGTGTTTAGAGATTTTCCTAACAGAGCACGCCAGAAAGCTGACCCACCGGACGCAGAAGTTCAAAGAACCGTTCATCATTACAGGACGCGAGTTGCACTCGATGGATGGCATACCGATCATCAAGCACCGGGTGAAGGCTATGCTGCGGGACCTGGGATTGAGGTAACAGGAAGCGATGGATCAAGATTCAGTAATTCATTACCATTAATTATTGTTTAAAAATACTTTTTATAACTTTTATACCAAAGGAGAGGGAAGATATGAGATGGATAATAACTAGGTAGGTCATGACTTTTCTTACGCATTTCCTGTCAGTTGGTGAAAGGTCATTTCTGGATTCAGCTGCTGCACGGGTAAGTTGAACAATAATTAACTGCGCCGTGGGTGATTTGCGCATAACTAATATCGGCGGATTTTCACAACTTTGGCGACCCATCACCAACGGGTGAGTGGAGGCATTCAATTGTTGCTCGATTACCGCCGATTTAGCGACTGCCACAAGAGAGGCGTGAACTGACGACACGTTGCTAGCCAAAGCGAAAACTCTCGACGGGTACCACGACTAAACGACCGACTCAAAACACCGAACTACTCGAGAGAGCGAGCGAAAAGAGAATAGGACTGTAAAGCTTGATGGTCAAGCAGAGAATGTCCTGAGTTGTAGCTAGACAGTAGCGCTCTTTTATAACTTTTCAGGTTAAAGCAGAATGATGTGCAATCAAGTGATACTCGATTATGACGACTCATCGGTCAAAAGCATTGATGCGTAGAAATATTTCTGATCGATTGGTGATAAAATTATTGAAATAGGTCCAGGGGAAGCTGAGTTATTAATGTTCAAAATCTTTCAGAATTTTGTTACATTTTTGAATTCCGGTTTTCCGAAAGTGTACCCACATATAGAAATCACAGACGTAGTCCTACGTTTAAAAAAACTGCGTACTTATTTTTAGCGAAGTAGGCTAATCAGGTACGAAACCTGCAATATTTTCTATTTTCGACATTGCATTCCTCCCGAGGGGCTGTCAACTTGATTATTTTCGATTCATCTACCCGTATTTTGCATTTTTTCCGTATTTATGTATATTTAAGTTTTTTGTATTTTTGTAGGGTAAATGATGGCTTCGGCAGCCATCGACTGTTTTCGGCAACGACAATTTAAACGTTAATTTCTATGTATTTTCTCACTAAAACACTTCGCTGAATGTATTTAAACGATTCCTTAGTCTTTCAACTTCCATCCTAATACATTTTTACGACTGAGCAAACCTGTTATGCCAGGTGTTCAAAATGCTGCTGATTTCGAGTTGCCGATAATAGAAAAGCTGGTTTACACGCAGTTTAAACGGAAAGGTTGCCGAAGTAAAAGAGGCTGCCGACAATAGTCACACTCACCTGAGAAGTTTGGAGCGCTTGAATAACGTTTTCAAACCGTTTTGGACAGTTTTGTTGATTGGAATGGATAGAATAGCTAGCAGCAGATGAATGTAAACAAACAGACACGTCATATGTGTGCGTGACACTGAGAAAATGCTAATAGAAGTGCGGAAGCTACTTAGATTGACGAGAATACGTAAATTCCCCTATTAAAGTGTATTAAATTCATCATGAAATGTATGTTTTGTGTACAAAGTATTTTCGAGGTATTTTTGAGTATTTCATTTAAGGTATTTTAGTTTTAACGTGTACACATTAAAGTATTTTTATAATTTTTTTACTATATTTTTAGAATTGTGTATTTACAATTCAGCTGATAAATGAAGTTGATTGCCCCTTGATTCCTGCTTGGTTGCCGCTAGTCCGATGATATCCTTGCGATTGCAAACCAAAACATTCGAGCTATCAGAAATACCGAGTTGCCAAATAAACCATAATAAACGTATTTTTCAAACAATCACAGCTTGCACAATCGGCACACTGAGAAAAAAGTTGACCAAAGATTGGTGTGCGGAGTGACTTTCTCCTTAATTTACCTCAATACCCCTAAACAACCCAATGGGGTGGCAAATACACCAAAGCCATCATTTGATTCAATTTGACGACTACCTGATTCATATAGCAGCACCCACGTGGTTGCTGAAATTTCATTCCGATAATTTATTGATTGTCTTCCAGCATCTACAGCGCGCAATTTCCGCTCCACACTCCACACTTCAGTTGCCACAAAACCTACGGATGCAATTTCATTCAATACTCGGCATTCGGTGCCCACTTTTCATCCTTCTCCCAGAGTAGCCATCCCGCGTAGGCAAAATTCAAAACAGATCCCCATCGTTGCGATTTTCCTCCATCGGGATTCTCATCGGAAAAGTATTGTTCCCTCGTTTTCCCCGCGCTGGGTGGTTGGTGAGCATGCATTCAACAGCCGTGCCAAAGGAAAATAGCGAGAGAGCGAGCGAGAGGAATTTTCGCGCTTCGTGGTGCGCATGACAGTCGCGTGCAATCATTGAGAAATTCCACATCCTAGATCTGGAGGAAGTAGGCCCCTACATGGGACCATACCGTGGTGTGTTGTGGGGTGTCGTGTGCTAGCATTCGGAACCGTCGCCTACGCTTTTACTCGGTCGGATTGTGAACGCGGCGCTCTGGGGGAAAATTTGTGTGGGCTTTGGGGTTCTCTGTGGAGCCACCGGATTAGAGCGGATACTCGGGGGAGAGATTTCGGTTTTTGCTTTGGAGGGGAATCCGGGTTTTTGGAACGAGAGAACACGGGATGCTTCCAGGAGAAGGTACCATTCATAGTTTTGAACGGGTGTCTGCTTCTAAGGCAGGTATGCAGTTGGCGGTGGAAATATTGTATCTTTTATTCATTCGGTTCGGTTTGATGCAAGGGGGTGACAGCAAATTTTCTCACTATGGGATATGGCAATTATGGCAGTACCCTCTTAACTGGGCGGTGCATTTATAGCTTATGACTAAACAGCAACAACTGTTGTTGCAGTTCAACCTTCCAAAATATTGAAAGGTGATCAACAATCACTTAGAACATTTTCCTGCTACTTGAAAATTATTCAAAAATCAGCAAGTATCTATAGACACGTTCTGCTGTTGCAGATCAACCTCCAACAAATTTGTGAGCAGATCTGAAGTAATCTTTAACGTTCTTCTGCTTGAGATCTCTTTAGGTTTCCCTTTTAGAGGGGGGACTAGGGCTTCTGGATGCGCTGAATTCGAAAATATCCGATGCTTACACGGGAAAAAAAGAGTTCCCATATTCGTGAACCACAGCCGTGAACCATAGTTCACGGTGTATATTTGAGAAAATTTTGTTCTGGATAGCTGGCCGTGATTTTTAGTTCACGGTCCGTTCCCGTTTTCGGGAACGGATTTTTTTCCAAGTATGGTGCGGTATGCACTGGCCACCCTCAAGCACATTAGCCTGTGTGTACTCTCTAATTTCCGCCTGTGACAGTCAATATCCAGTACCGCAGCCCACGCAGGGCCGCCGTATCTGATAATAGATACTACGACCCCAGCGAGGAGCCTGCGCTTACTGGCATTCACTGCCGAGCTGTTTGACATCATGCGGAATAATGCCCCCCACAGCCGTAGACGCTCTCTTGCAGGCGTACTCGACTTGGCAGCCGAAGCTGAGCTTATCATCGAGCATAACCCCCAAGAGTTTCAGAGAGCGCACCGACCTAATTGTGTTCTCGCCGACTGTCAACGTCGCATGCTGCACCGACATGCGATTGTTGACTAAGACCACTTCCGTGTTGTGATGGGCAAGCTCCAGCTTCCTGGATCTCGGGCAAGCTCCAGCTTCCTGGATTTCATCCATTCCTCCACAAGCTTGACGGAGTGAGCCACTGTCAGCTCTACCTCCTCGAGGGAATCCCCGTTAACTACCAGCGTGACATCGTCGGCAAAACCTACAATTTTCACGCCTACTGGGAATCGTATCCTCAACACTCCATCGTACATGACGTTCCATAACACCGGGCCCAGGATGTAGCCTTGTGGCACTCCGGCGGTGACTCTAACGCATTTTTTGCCATCTTCTCTGTCGTACTTCAACACACGATTCTGGAAGTAGCTTTCCAGAATCTTGTACAGTTCTTCCGGGAATTCGGAGCTGTTGTAGCGAGCGGGCTATCGCCCCCCAGCACGCGCTGTTGAACGCGTTCTTCACGTCTAGGGTTACCACCGCGCATTAACCGATGCCCCTTCGTTTCCGGTGGACCACCTCTGCCGTCTGAATGACGTCACAGATGGCTTCCACCGTGGATCTGCCTTTACGGAACCCGTACTGGCTGCTTGACAGGCAGTCTACACCTTCAGTGTAAGCCGACAACCTGTTGAGGATGACACTCTCAAGCAGTTTACCAGTGGTGTCCAGCAAACAAATGGGCCTGTATGTTGACGGGTCCCCAGGGGGTTTTCCTGGCTTCGGGAGCAGCACCAGCCTCTGCTGCTTCCACGCATCTGGGAAGATGCCTACGTCCAGACAGGTCTGAAAAATAGAACGGAACATGTCTGTATTTTCCGCAACGGGGGCCGTCTGGGCCCGGGGCCTTGCCCACCACCAGTGACTTGACAATATCGCTCAGTTCTCTGTTTGTCACTCGACATTTCTCCCTGATCCACGGCCAGGAGTCAACGTCCCTACGCGGAAACAAGAACCCAACGATCGACGCCAACATCGCCGGCGATCTATCCGGGGGTGCCGCCACGCCACGGGTCTTGGCCATGACCACTTTGTAGGCATCCCCCCATGGGTTCGTGTTGGCTCTTTGGCATAAACTGTCAAAGCACGCACACTTGTGTCTGCCGATCTCTTTGTTGAGGGCCGCCTTAGCCGCTCGAAGAGCGACGCGGCGTTCCTCTCGAGATTCGGTCGTACGAGCTCGTTGCATCCTCCTTCTCGCATGGAGGCAAGACGCCCTGAGGATAGCAATCGACTCACTCCACCAGTACACCGGTCTATGGCCATGCCTGGGATAGGCTCTCCTAGGCATGGTTGTATCGCACGCCCTTGCCAGCGATGCTACCAGTTCTTCCCCCGTCAGATCCGGTGTTATTCGCTCCCGCCTCAGTGCTTCGCCGAAGACCTATTCATCAAAGAACGACGTCCGCCAGCCTCGAGTGCAGGAAGGATTCCCTCCTGCCACTCGCCTCTCACCTAGCCCCACACTGTAGCGAATCGCCTGATGGTCACGACCCTTCAGTGTAGGTTGCTCTCCAAACACGGGCTGCAGTACGTCACACCAATGACGGATTCTGCACCATTCCTTCTGTAGGTACTGACAGAGCCGGTGTTGGCTAGTACAACGTCCAGTTTGGCCATTGCCTCCAGTAGGATGCATCCTCTCTGGTTCGTGTGGTGGCTGCCCCACTCCACCGCCCAGTCGTTAAAGTCGCCCGCAATGAACACCGGTCTTAGGCCGACAAGTACCGCAGTGAGTATGTCCATCATCTGCGAGAACTGGTCGATAGACCATCTGGGCGGAGCATAACAGCTACTTAGATATACTCCATTTACCCTGGTGATCACGAATCCCTCGCTCGAGTTGGACGAGACTACCTCCTGAACGGGGAAGCTCCCCATCGTGCATATCGCCGCCATCCCCAACGCGTCCTCGACCCAATTCCCGTTGCCGGATGGGACACGGTACGGGCCGGAGATGATTGCGACATCCACTCCCCATTCCACTGCCGATTGCCACAACAGTTGCTGGGCAGCCGAGCAATGGTTCAGGTTCAACTGCGCTACCTCGAACATGGCTGAGCATTGCTCTTGGCCTCCGGGCAGCGTGGGCCACCTGTCATGTGGTTGGTAGGGGATTTCCCCTTCTCCGCGCATATAGTGCACCTCTGCGGCTTTTGGCAGCCTTGCGCCTTATGGCCCTCCGAGCCGCACCATCTGCACAGCTTGCTCCTGTCGGTGTTCTTACAGTCCCGAGCCACATGGCCCTGACCGGAGCACCTGAAGCAAGCCATAACCGATCTCAAGTCTCAAGCAAGCCCGGGGATTCTCACTGGGCAAACCGACCAGCCCACTCGTACCCTCCCAGTGGCTGCCACCTTCCTGGCATCAGCTGCTGGGAGGTTGACGGTAGCCACATAGAGGTAACTCTAAGACTAGAAGGTCCCGAAATAACGTGCTCAACTTTTTGGCACAGCTCTGGTACTCTCTTCGGTCCCAAGCTAATCGATTCACCCCTCGAAACATAGGAAAATCGAATAACCCCTCATTTTATCTGTCAAACTTTCTTAGCGAATCAAAACAAACATTGTGTAGTACTAGAATTTTGACTAGAATGGGGTACGTAATCGATTTGCTTGGGACCAATAGGCTAGTCAAGTAGTGAGCCAATTTAAAATCATTAGTTTCGTATTGATTGTTGGTAGCCACCTGGGTGGAGAACAGTCCCTTCCTCAAGGTAACCGCTGTTGACGGTACCTCGATTTGGCACTGCTCCCTGAGCGCCTTGTCTAGTTTGGTCGCCTCTATCACTTCATCCAAGTCCTTAATCTGGATGGTGATCGTCGAGCCTAGCGATCTTACCTGCACCCCATTTCCAACGACCCCGTTTGCCAGTTTCTGGTAAGTCGGTCCCTGGTCTTTAGCGCCACGCTTAAGCACCAGGAGCATCTCGCCAGTACGAGTGCGCCTGATGCTCCTCACGTTATTGCCCATCTCCACAAGACGCTCGTCAGCTTTCATCTTCCTCACGCTTCCGTCTTGATGATGAGAGCCTCGCCCATCGTCCTGTGTTTGTTCCGGCAGTGCTGCTCAACCACGGCCACACACTCTACCTGGGCTGAGACTTTCCATCTCTTAGGGCGTGCCGCACCCTTTACTGGCGAGGGCCGGTCGCGCTTCTGCCCTTGTGTCACGGCAAAGTGGAGGGCCTCGCTGGCCATCTTAGTGTTGCCTGCGAAGTTGAAGGCGTCCGTCTGGGTAGACTTCGGTTCCCTCTTCTCCGTCCTCTCGGTGACTTGCAGTCGCTTTTTTAGCCGCTTGTGGTCGTCTTGGGCCTCGTGCACCGTTGCGCGGAGCTGTCGCGATATTTTTCCGCGTGCTAGTGAACTCGATGATCGCATCGAGCTGACCAGCGATAGCCAGTATCCTAGGGAGGGTCTCAAAACCACTCATGGCTTTTATTAGCCTGGGCCCATCCATGGGTTGTTCCCCTGGCTGTCCGCCGGTCTCATCGGTTAACTCTGCGTCCGGCAGAGGTTTCGGCCGCTTGGTGTCCTTGTTCGAGTCACTGGGTGCGGGAGATCTCGTAAGACCACCCTTCGCGAATGGGTTCGCGGTCGCCTCCTTGGTGACTTGTTCTCTGGGGGTTTGGGTTTTGGAGCTTTTTTGATGATCCTGGCCTGGAAAATTTTCGTTAGCCTATTGACATTGGTTTTCAAGTGGGCAGCCCACGCTGGATCTGGACCTACAAATGGTGTTATGGAGCCTGATAAGATCTTTGGTTGGGCTGTCAAGGTTCAGAGTATGACTCACCTGTCTGGATGCTGGTACGTGTTGCTCCCTGGCACGGGATAACGCCTCTTCGATGGTTTGCAGACACCGATCGACTTCTTCGAACTACTCCGGTAGGACGTCGTAGTCGGTTGCTGTGTCCACACAGCGCTGGTACTGCTGCCAGTTGACACGATGGTAATTTCGCCGGGAAACTTGAAACCTACTTTGGCCACCACTGGATAGTGGCCCGAGCTGTAGGCGATAGGTTGAGAGATGTTATCGCCAATGTTGCTGATGAAGATGTGGGAGTGTCCGGACACAGGATGTTGTAGTGGGCTTCCTGCAGATCGTTGTACAAGACTGTGCCGTTCTGGTTTCGCCGACGGTTGCCCCAGGCTTGATGCTTGGAGTTCAGGTCGCCAGCGATGATGAAATTTTGCCGCCGTCGTGTTAGCTTGATGATGTCTCTCTTTCATAGCAAATCAAAACAAACCTAGTGTAGTACTAGAATTTCGGCTGGAATAGGGCACGTTAATCGATTTGCTTGGGACCAATAGGCTAGTCAAGTAGTGAGCCAATTTAAAATCGTTAGTTTCATATTGATTGTTGGTTCTACGTCAAAAGGTTCATTCTGCAAGGTAAGTAACGCAACATGTTTATTTTAAGAATAGGGGGATTAGGGGCATAATGAACACACGGGGTGAAATGGACACCCTCAAAATAACAAAATCTTTTAAATTTAAACGGAAATGTAAGTTGTTAATCATTTTTACCACTATCAAACATATAATTTTTTCAATAGAACAGTTGATATCCTCTTTTAACCCATAGAGGTAACTCTAAGACTAGAAAGTCCCGAAATAACGTGCACAACTTTTTGGCTCAGCTCTGGTACTCTCTTCGGTCCCAAGCTAATCGATTCACCCCTCGAAACATAGGAAAAACCACGAACCTCTCATTTTATCTGTCAAACTTTCATAGGGAATCAAAACAAACATTGCGTAGTACTACAATTTCGACTATATTCGACGAAATATATGAAAAATTAGAAATCATAACCCAAGGGTTTGAAATATTATAATTTCTAACCAGAGCAAAATAAGGTTTTACGAACGTTTCAGAATATTTATTATCAATTACCTATTTGCCCCAAACACGTTCTTTGTATCGCTGCTGAAAGTTGACATTTATCACAATATAGTTTTTTGCAATAATTTATTTAAAAAAAAATGCATTCAAATTAATATAGTCGATTAGGGGCGAAACGAACACCTCTAGTAGGGGCAAAATGAACACCACTTGTTTCTAGAATCTAACCTCAACGCCCACTTTGTTGACTTGTTTACATTGTTTACCTACGCAGTGTTTTGGTGGCAGTGATGGTGCGAACGTACTAAAGACAATCGGGAAGGCAGCAGTGGTCCAAAACGGCCATGGAAGCGGCCATAGATTATGTCCGCCGGAGTGGAACGTCCATCAAACGAGCAGCCAAGGACCATGGAATTCCAAGACCTACGCTGATTTACTATCTGAAAACTGCAGAAGTACTGGGCCAGGAGGTGAAGCAAATCGACTCATTCAAAACAGTTTTCATACCTGCCGAGGAAGCTGTTTTAATGGCCCACATTTTGGACTTTGTGGTTCGATGCTACGGAATTACCACCCGCGACATCCGGAGCCTTGCCTTCCAGCTGGCCGAACGCAACGGGAAAGCACATGTTTTCAATACGAAGACACAGCTGGCTGGTTGGGATTGGCTTCACGGTTTTCGGAAGCGTCATCCCAAACTCTCGCTCCGTACTCCTGAGGCTACCTCAGCAGCAAGGTTGCAATCATTCAACAAGATAGCGGTCGACAACTTCTTCGATGTGCTGCATCGTGAAATGGACGGAGGCAAATTCAGTGCCAGCAGGATTTTCAACGTTGATGAAACCTCTGTGCTCACCGTAAGTTGTACACATTTTCAAATAAAATGCATGTTTTGACTCATTTTGTATTCTTAGGTGCATACGAAACGTTCCAAAGTGTTGGACAACGGGACAAATACTGCCACCTATGATGATATTCCCTAGGGCCCGTTTGACTACCAGTCTTATGGAAGGTGCTCCACCAGGCACGGTATTTGTCTGCAACTCTTCCGGTCGGATGACTGTGATAGAATTCAACACCTGGTTCGAGCATTTTCTAAAGTACACGCGTTCAACAGCTGATAACCCGGTTCTTTTGATTTTGGACGGTCATTCTTCGCATACGAAGAACCTTGGCTTTATAGAAAGAGCGCGTGAGTGCCATGTGACAGTCGTGTGCTTGCCCCCCCATTGCAGCCACAAACTACAGCCTCTCGATATAAGCTACATAAGGCCGCTCAAGACGGCTTTCTCGAAGGAAGTGGAGAGTTTCCTCAAATGCAATCCTGGTAGGGTTGTTACCTTGAACGAAATCAGCCGGCTTTTCGGTTCGGTTTTCATGAAGACTTCTAACGCGACTCTTGGTGTCAACGGATTCCGTAAGGCAGGAATTTTTCCGCTGAACCGGTTTATCTTCAACGATAATGATTTTGCGCCGGCTGAGATCAACATTCTCTGCTTGAACGTCAAGCAGTACAGTTCGGTATTTGCTCGCTCTGTCGAGTTGTTCTAAAGTTTCTAGTTTGTTCCAAACATTCGCAGTTTAATCGCGTTGTCAGTAGTGTCGGTCGCTTCGTGTGATGGGAAGACAGCGCTCCCGGAGCAGGCTCCGAGAGAAAACGGAGAAGAAGAACAGCGGTGAGGGTAGCTTGAGTGTACCTATTTCGAATAGGTACGCTACTCTTCCCACCGATGTAGGGAATACCACCTCAGCCACGGTGAAGCGGTCAAAGAAGAGGAAGAAAAATCAAGGCCAGTCCGATGGTGTGAGTGGACGGGACGATGCCACCGCGACGAACGTCAGCGTCATTGGTGATTTCGGCGACGCCGTCGACAACGAAGCTGCTGCCACTGGTGGTGAAGCAAGTCCCACTCAACACGCTGATTGGCGATCTTTCATCGCTGGGCGTTGCAGCTGAGTTTAAGCTCGGCAGGATCGGCACCAAGGTGATGCTCCGAACCAAAGCGGAGTACGAAGTGGCCGTGAAATATCTGAAGGATACCAAGGCGGAATTCTTCACGCACGACATCCCCGGTGAGAAGCCCTTCAAGGTAGTCATCAGGGGTTTACCAAACTTCGACCCCAAGATGGTCGAAGCTGAAATCAACCGGTACAAGCTAGCCCCAATCGCTGTCTTCCGAATGACAAGGAGAGACGAAAACGTGAAGACGTACCCGGATTGTCTTTTTCTGGTGCACTTCCAGAAAGGGACGGTGACTCTCAATGCGCTGCAAGCCATCCGATCGATCTACTCCATCATCGTACGATGGGAGCCATACCGTGGCGGCCATCGTGACGTAACGCAGTGCCAGCGGTGTCTCAATTTTGGACACGGTACCCGCAACTGCAACATCAAGCCACGCTGCAGCAACTGCGCTCAAGAACACGCCACTTCCAACTGCCCTGCGGATGGAACCGTGGCGATAAAATGCGCTAACTGTGGTGGTGCACATCAAGGTTCCGACAGACAGTGCTCCAGACGCGAGGACTTCAAACGCATCCGAAAGCAGGCGTCAAGCAACAATCAACCAGGACGCAAGAAGGACAAAACCCCAGCATTCAGGGCGGAGGATTTTCCGCCTCTTCGAACTCCCCAGCAAAAGCAAGCGAATTCGCGGGTGCAAACCGCCCCCCCCCCCCCCTCAAGAAGCTTCCGGTGATTCTGCTGGCCAAAGATCTCAATCCCCCCCTGGATTTTGGAGACAACCAGCAGCGCAAAACAACAACCCCGATCTGTTCTCAGCGGACGAACTGATGGAAATTTTCGTCAACATGTCCGGTGCTCTTCGTAAGTGCCGCAATAAGCCCGAACAGATCCAAGTGCTCGGTAAGTTCATCATCCAGTATGGCGTCTAAACCGCTAACTATCGTCACCTGGAATGCTTGCTCTGTAAGAGCAAAAGATATTGAGCTTGGCGACTTCCTCCGCAAGCACAGCATCGACGTGGGCCTTCTAACTGAGACCCATCTAAAGTCCGGCGACAACTTCTGGTTGCCTGACCACAACATTATTCGGCTTGATCGCACCATCTCCAGGGGGGGGGGGGGGGGATGGTGTTGCGGTCGTCCTCAAGAAAGGAATAAAATACCACACTATGTCCCATATCCGCACCTCTATCATCGAGGCCCTTGGTGTGGAGGTGAAGTCGTCGACTGGATACGTCCAGTTCATCGCCGTCTACTGCCCTCGACAGTGTGCCGCCAGCAGTGGACTAGCGGCTAAATTCAAGAAGGACCTGTCCACCATCACCCGTAACGGTTCCCGCTTCGTAATAGGAGGAGATATAAACGCTCGCCATGAGGCCTGGCGGAACTACACGCAGAACCAGAACGGTCGTTTGCATGAGCTGTACTCCGTTTGGTTTTCGGATAAACCAACATTTATCTCACCGGCGGGCAACCCATCGACGCTAGACCTGTTCCTGACAAATATCGGCTTGTCCAAGCCGGTAGCCTTGAACGAACTCAGCTCCGACCACCAACCGGTGGTGGCTGAACTGGGCTGCAACGTGGCTCCTGCTTCAAGCCTGCTCAAGGACTATCATCGCGTAAACTGGGCCCAGTTTGGACGCGTGGTAAACAGGCACATCATCGACAACCCGCCGCTTGACAACGTGGAGGACATCGACCGAGCGTTGGAAGGACTCCACCAAGCTATAACCGTGGCTGACGAGGCGTGCGTCCGACGAGTTCCTGTGAGGGATAAGTTTATTGCCATTGATTCCCACACCCAACTTTTGATTCGCCTGAGAAATGTTCGTAGACGCCAGTTTCAGAGGACTGGAGATCTAGCGAGGAAACATGAAATGGCAGATCTGAACAAGGAGATTGCTTCCAGAATGGTCTCACTCCGGAACGAAAGTTTCGGGCGTGTTGTCCAAAATCTGGACGACCGCTCCAGACCATTCTGGAAAGTTGCCAAGGTCTTAAAGACGCACCCTAAACCCATTCCACCACTCAAAGATGAAAATGATGACGATAGGCTCATAATCACCCCTCAGGAGAAAGCAAATGCGATTGGTGAGCATATTGCCAAATCGCACTTGCTTGGCTCCAACATCCAAAGTCCGCTCGAAGTTCAGGTTGAGCAATGCCCCTCATTTTATCTGTCAAACTATCATAGCGAATCAAAACAAACATAGAGTAGTACTAGAATGTCCACTAAAATGGGGCACGTTAATCGATTTGCTTGGGACCAATGGGCTAGTCACGCAGTGAGCCAATTTAAAATCGTTAGTTCCCACCGGTTGGTATTACGCTCGACTTTCCAACAACTTCAACCCTGCAACCTTCTACCAAAACCAACCTCATCAACCGCACTCTCACAGATTCCCAACACTCTCTCGCTCTCTCGCACCTCTTCTCTCATCCAACTCATCCCTCGCGGCAAGCGAAGAGAACAGCCAGAAAACTCATCTCCCGCCCGACTGCCTTTCGCAGGATCGCATCAGGGGTGGTATCTACTCACGGCCAAATTTCATTCAACTTTTCAGCTTCGTGCCTTCGCCGCGCTCGAATCCGGTCCGGTCTGATTATGAAACGGACTCCCACAACAACGACCAATCGACCGACCGACAAATCCTCCGTTCGTTCAGTTCAGTGCGAACGTTTGGACGGAACGAAAGCTTTTTCCCAATCAGTCTCGGAGGAGTCCCTACTAGCAGTACAGAACGCAGCTCAGTGCCCATCCAGATCCTGTGGATTGTCGGTGCGTGTGTATGTGTTTGTACGTTTGAGCCTTTGTGTATAGAAGAGAAACGCTGGACCAGAACTGTGGGCAGCGGGGTGGGCCTACTGGACGCAACAGTGGAAGACCGCGCCGGAGCCGAGTGTAGTTTGGCGCAATAAAAACAACAGTTGGCCGGGAGCGAACCACCTTCTAACCTCGTCCTCCTGCTCCTGCACTGCTCATCGTCGCGCTGGGAATTCGGTTCTCGCAAGTGCTTCGGAAGTCATTCTCAGTAGTAGCAGTGCTGGCAGCCGGTTTGGTTCGGGTTGGTTTTTTACTTCTCCGGAGTCCTCTCGAGAAGCCTTAAGCGGTGTGTGTGGTTTGGAAGTTAAGTGATTCGCAGCAGCGTGGAACCGGATCTGACCATGACGGTCTTCAAAGCCAGTGGCCACGGTCAAAGCTTTTGACCTTTGACACGAAGCAGAACCAAGGAAGCAAGTGCCACACAAACACACACAGAGTGTTGTTTGTTACATGGTGAAAATTGAATTATAATGCCATTCACGGTTCATGGGCCACCATCATAGGCAAGGACGCCCCATTCGCAGCGAATTTCTAGTCTGAACCAAAAGGAAAATAAAAAGAATCCAAAGTGTCGTGAAGAAGCAAATTCCCCCTCCCCCGGAGGAAGCACGTTTCTGTCAAAGTTGTCTCGTACGTTTTTCGATTTTTTCGTTCAGCCGTCGTAAGCTGATGGTTGGTGGGGCTAGGTGGAGACCAAAATCGGTAAATCCGCCGGAGGTGGAGAGAGTGTAGAAAAAAAAACAAAAGATTTTCCAAACGACCACATCGGAAGAGGAGAATGCCCGTTGGGAAAACGCGACCATCGGGCTAAGCGAGTGTCAAGTGAAGTGCTTTGGAAGGCGATAAAGCAACAGAGAAAAAAAAAAAAGAAGAACCCAAGTGGGAAAACAAAAGAAAAAGCTTGGTGCTGGAAATCACAGAAAATCACGCGGTTTGATAGGATAACGTTCGGAAGTGGTCGGTATCCTTGGGTGGTAGGTGCAAATAATACTCGGTGGAATTTGACGCGGAAGTGGTGCAGTTGAATAAGAAGAAAAAATGAAAGCGCTCCGGGCCGGAGGCGGACTTTGCCAGCTGATCTTCCTGGTGAACGTGCTGGTCGTCTGCTGGGCGGAGTTTTCAACCACTGGTAAGTAGAAAGTTGTATATTTTTTGTAGCAGTATTTTATCAACAGTTTTTGGTTGGGTATTTAGGGAAGTTTGTGCGTCTTATCTACGTACAGAGGTCTGCTGGTCAAGCTTTACGTCGACGTGTTAGCCAGCACAGGTAAAATGAGTTGAAACGTTTGATTTTACCTCAATGAAAAGTCATCACAACAAACAAATTTGACTACAAAACAGCTTATACAGTCAAAAATTGGCTTATACAGCTAATTTTTGCCTCTATAAGCTAGTCTGCAGCCATTGGCGTAGCTAGAAAAATTGCGTCAGGGCAACTTGTTTTTGAGTATTTTTGACTTAGGATTATGTCTTTCGGCAACATATTGGGGGTGTAATTAAAAAAAAACAAAATCGACCGCGTTACGAAACGTGGTCAGGTTTTGACAACTTACAACTCTGTTCATAGAGTATGGATTTTAATTCTGAACAAGTCAATCGATTGGAAATTTTTCTACGAAGCTGCTAGAAGGAATACTTTATCAATTTTCAATAGGTCACTTTTGAAAATAACACAAATGTCCAACTGTTGCAATGGTGATAAAAATTATCACTGATTGCCTGTAAAAAATGGTTTCCCTAACACAGTCGCCAAATATTGATACCAAGCACGTAATACTACGTCAAATCTACGGTCGTGTCTTGGATACAAGCTCTTAATTTTTGTCATTGAGGTGTACTATTATTTTAATGGTTAAACAAATTTTATTATATTTATTTCAAAGTAACGATTGGGACCTGGAGTGTGGATGCCCTAAAAGCTTACTGATTTTGAACAAGCAATGATCGTTTCATGCTTTTTGTAATGAAAACACATAGCTTCCAGGTTTCATAAATTCGAGCATATCAAACTTAAGAAAATTCTCAGAATTTAGATTTTGAATATTTAATCATCAGTTAAATCTTAGACATAGGAACCAACCAGTTTGAATTTTATTATTTTCTAAAATGAAGGCTTTGAAACATGATGAAGTGCACACAGAATAAATTTCATACATTTAGGACTGAGGAAAATCTGCAAGATATATGTCCATGCACAATTCTTAACATTCTTAATGTTAAAATAAAAATAGTAATGAGATTCCAAAGCCACACGGGAAGAAATCCAATCTCAGAAATGAGAAAAATGACTCATGATTTCATGAACATAATGTGTTTTCATGTTATGAATATACACCATGAATAATATTCATGATTTCATGAGCTTTTTCTTCGTAACGCAACCTATGCGTTACGACTTTTTTCGGTTGACGAGGGGTCGTAACTAGATTCATGAAATCATGAATCATCCGAATCAAAACCATGAACTATATTCATGGATTTGAAAACAGTTAACGCTCCCTAACTCAATATTGAAGGGACCATCGACTTTGTGAGAATATCGAGTAACGGAGAGATCGTATAAGGAAGAGTTGACTGTACCTTTTTAATCTAGAATTCAATTATAATTCAATCAATAGTTTTCATAAGGGCGTAATTGCTTTTGTAAACAATGGCTTTAGTCGTCGATTTCTCGCGAATAAAAGCTCACTCATGCAAATGAATGACGCTATCAGGTAGATGAATGTTTCCTCTATCTGCTGGCATCGTTCATTTGCATGTATGAGCTTTGATTCGCGAGAAATCAACGACTAAAGCCATTGTTTACAAAAGCAATTACGCCCTTATGAAAACTATTGATTGAATTAATCTTTTATTATAAACTGTAGTCACAAGGAGCAAGAATGCATAATTTTCAAAAACCGTTCGATTTGGGCACGGTGTCAAAATCGATTCCGCACCAAAATCGAACGGTTTTGTGATTTTGCTGCCAAAATCGAACCATGCCAAAAACGAACGGGTACTGTAAATACTACTATGCGGGAAGCTACTAATTTGGAATGATAGATTACATATTTAAAAAAAAAATACAAAAATTTCTTACCAAATTTTTCAGCAGTTTGCGAAACATGACTCTATCCCGTGCTACTTTGCAGAAGAGTTTTATATCTCCTTCCTGAAGCTCGCTGAACTCTCTGCCATTTTGAATGCCATGGTCATTTATCACAATACTGGCGTAATTGTCCAGGCCAGCCCGATACAGAATAGCTTCAAAATCCAGCTCTGGGGCTTCGGGATCTAAGTCTACTCTGTATGTCCTCTGTTCCTCCGTAATTAGGGCTGCCGCTGTTGGCAGTATTGGCCCATCGAGGGCAAGATATTGTACTTGATCCAGTTCCAGTATTGTAATAAAATGATTAAACCAGCACCGGACACTGAAACGGATCACACGTTGCTTCTATTCGCTTCCTTTTCCAAATTCACACCCGACCGCAATGGACGCTGAAATTTTATAAGCACGGTTTGACAGGCAAACGCGTACGCGTAACGCTAGCTAACGGCCATGATAGCGATTATTTTTGTTCATGATATTCGTCGCTTGTTTCATGAAAGCATGAATTGTTTTCATGATTTCATGGGATGAATTTTTTTATGGTTTCATGATTTTTTATTCATGAAAATGACAACGGATTTTTTCCCGTGCATATGTTCTCATGATTGTGTATCTAAAAAAATAGATATCTCTGATACAGTTTGTGAACATGAGCATGAGCATTGACGACCATACATTTCAGTAGTTGCTACTCCGTGATTGACCAGATTTAGTGAAATTTGCACAAAGAATCATATGAATGGGGCTTGGGACTAGCAATCCATTATCAGTGTGCAAAATCCGGTGAATTCTTATTTTTGAGATCAATAACGGCGCCGGCCACGTCCTTACGGTCATTGGGGAGGGAAAGGATTGTTATTTCGAGACCTGTTGTTAATGAGACCGAGTATACCTCTACATCTCCACGGTTGTCACGGGAAGGACGTTTTTGTTAGTGGGAAGGGTAAGTTAGATCTGGATTCACATTGGGAAGTGATGCGAGTTTTTAAAGGCTGCTAAGCAAATGACGCGACCCTATCAACTCAGTAACGTAAAGGAGATTGGGTTCCAATCCACGATCTTCGGCTCAGTAAGCTGGAACCGTTCTGTTACAAAGGTTCAATACAATATTTTAAATATGCACCATGTGATCGAGCATTCAAATAAATTTGTGTAACACTTGCGGTGAAACCCACTGGGCAGACGATACGGCCATGCTTAACGGCCGACTGCTGAATAAGGCGCGCATTGCCGCGGAAAAAAGGTGACACGGAGTCACGGGTGATGAGCTGAAGGGTTCTGCGATGCTTAGAGAACGGCCATCGTTCACTTTATCTCAGGCGAGCGTGTAGACCAGAAGTGTCTATGGAATTCATTTTAACAGAATACAGTGCGAGTAGTGAATCAAGGTGAAGTGGAAATCACCAATTCAGCTGATTCAGGTAAAGTCGAAGTCATCCTCTAAATTGGTCCAAGGCACTAATGGATGTTACCTCCTCGCTAGGAGCTTTCTTTTCAACCAATCAAATGGTTTTCTGGTTGGTGAGTCAAAGACCGCCATTGCACGCTACGGTCTAGGTGACATTTAGTTACCTTGACCTTACCGTAAAGGACATCGTCCTCTGGCTGAAGGCCCTAAACACCAAGGAGAATTTCCCTTCCCGGTTCGACAGAGGGCGGCCTTGCCGTCGTCGACCGGCTTCATCAGAAGGAAGCGCCTGTGCATCGGAGCCATCTCCACAAACCGCTATACCAGCCCCGGTAAAACCAACCCGCCATCGCACTACAACCGACGTTCGGTCAGCCTCGCTTCGTCCGCCATTGTCGGAATTGTACCGGAATTTCACCGAGCGGTGGTACCGCCATCTTGCCGACAAGATCGGCCTTTAAGGATCATTCCGGAACCACAGCGAGCGCTCGCTGGTCTGCAGTCGTCGTAGTCGCCATCGTCATCAAGGGTATGTGCCAAGAAAATCGAACACAACACCACACAATCCACACTATCGGTAATTGGAGAAATCCAGTGCTAAAATTGATCCGCGTTGTGTTTCAGTTTAATTGAAAGCTTGAGTGCCTTTTCATCCGCGTAGCCCCTCCAGTTTGCCCAGTAGTGCGCCGACTCTGAGACACAGTTCAAGGAGTCTCGTGCTGCTGAGTTGTTGTCGGGCAGAAAATTAGTTTCAAAGCAAAAACGGTCGCTCTAAGGCCACCGTGCCCCTTACATCAAAACAAGCTACGACTGACGATCGTTCATTATCGGTTACAAGAAGCTAATACATTATGTTTTTGTAAAAAAATCTGCGGAGCTATAGAATCAGTTTCATTGATTGACCTCTTTTACGGATGTTCTGGACTTACCAGAGGATGGCCCCATGGCCATTTGGGTCCATGTTTATTTCATGACTCCAAATTCTTTCTTATATCGCTGTTCCACATGCTTTCGAAAAAAACGTAGAGCTCTAGGATATCAGTTTCAAGGATTGACCATTTTAAAAGATGTTCTAGACCTTGCGGAGGACAGCCCCATAGCCTTCTAGGTACATGTTTATGTCACGACCGCAAATAATTCAGTGCCAACATTTCAAAGGGGCGTAATTGCTTTTATAAACAATGGCTTTTGCCGTCGATTTCTCGCAAATAAAAGCACACCCCTCCAAATTACCAATGCTAGCTGGGACAGGAAACATTCTTCTACCTGCTGATGTCATTCATTTTCATGAGTGAGCTTTCATTCGCAAGAAATCGAAGACGAAAGTCATTGTTTACAAATGCAATTACGCCCCTTTGAAATGTTGGCACTGAATTTTACATATGACAGTTCCACACATTGACCACTTTTCCGGTTTTTTAGGATCTTCCGGAGGACGGTCCGATGGCCATCTGAGTCCTTGATTATGTCACGATCCCAAAATCATTCTAATATCACAGTTCCTAACGTTTTCAAGAAAACCACGGAGCTCTAGGATCAGTTTCGTAAATTTTCCACTTTCACGGATGTTTCGGATCTTCCGGAGGACGGTCTCATGGCCATCAAGGTCCATGTTTATGTCACGATACCA